AAAAAAAAAAAAAAAACAGAAAACTGATTCGTTTTGCTACCTGGTTCGAACATCCAGCTTGCAGCGGTTGATGATGCAGGACAACTCAAACAGGATGGGGAACCAGCCTCGGACCCAGACCCGATCACCTGGAGCAACATTCATGTCGTCGCTGGTGTATTCCCGCAGAGCCTGGACACACACACACACACACACACACACACACACACACACACACACACACACACACACACACGTTTAGCACATTTCCTCCATCCTCCCCTCCTCAGGTGCAACACACACAGCACCAACCTGTGGCCTCTCAGAGACGTATTTAGCACAGTGTCGGATGAGTCTGATGGCCTCCATGCTGGTGTCAGGAAAAGCTGCGTTGCACACAAACTCTGACAAACACTTCACAGCATCCTGAAACGAATCGATGGCAGCTGCAAAGTGCTCCCGGAAGGTGTTCACTGAYGAGGAAGAAGAAATAAAGGAGTCAACTCCTGCAGACCTGCAGCACCTCCTGTTGTTAGAGGAGTGGTCACTACATTCCTCTGTTTTTATCCTCTGAGCCACACGTCGGCGCCTGAATGAAATGTGTGTCGTACTCACTGACGATGTGCCCTGTTGTCTGGAAGGCCAGCTCCACGATGGTCTCGTCGTGGTCAGAAGCAGCCTGGTGGAACACCGAGAAGATGTTCTTCCAACCAGAACGGATGTTGGCCGCCTGGGAGTTCACCATCTGAGCCACGCACCTGATCACCATGTCTCTGATGGTGGGGGACCTGAGGGGACACAAGGCTGTTTCCTCTGACACTTTCTTTTTTTTTACAACAGTAAAATTCAAGCACTTTTCAAGGTAAACTGTCAAACTTTTCCAGCACCAAACATCGGAGCAGTCTGTATCTGAGTCTTTCTTCACTGAGCTTTAAAACCACGACATGCAGTGTTTCCTGTGTGAAGAGAACCTAACAAGGATCTAAAACACTGTGCAACTCAACACAATCCTGCAAGTTAGAAAATTCATATGAAAAGGACATCTAGAAGACATCAGAGGTGCTGCATGAGAGAACATTTCCAAACCACTGCTACTTTTAGAATAATCAAACCATTAACAAGCTTTACTAGTGTTTTTAATAAACATGTTTTGCTGTTGCACATTTTAAAGTACAGCAACGAGGCTTTCTGAGATTTATTAAAAGAAAAATAATCACTCATTATGTGCATTTAGCATAAAAAAAAATCAAAGTGAGGATTTTAATGTAATTTTTTAATGTAACTGTTTAAGTTCTCTTTATTACAAAACTGTGCAGAATATCAAGTACTTTCCAGGCCTTGAAAACACTGTCAGAATTAAAGTATTTTCAAGCATTTCAAGCACCCGTATGAACCCTGTCACTGTAATTAGGGCCCTATAAAAATCAGTTTTATTTTTTCCCAAATTCCAATTTTTTCCTTTTTTTAGTTTTCTAAATTTCACTTTTTCCATTTTTCCCCCTGAATTCCACATTTTCATGTCAACCATATTTATTAACCTAAAGTGTGTAATTATTAAGT